ATCAATTAGAATTACTTGATACTAGAATTCAAGCTGTAATGGGCAAGCAGAACAACTCAGGACCAGGTTCTCCACTCCCCAGCAGTGTGAACAGTCCAATGCAACAACACATGGCTGCACTTTGCAATTGTTCTGTTTTACTGCTATATATGATAGCCTAGATGCAGGGGAGTGGAGAGCCCAGGCATGTAACCACCAGGCTGCAGTGGGCAGATGTGCATGCAGTGTCACAGGTCTCCAGCTGCAGAGAGCACATTTCACACAAAGATGAAAACCCTTCCAGAGACAGGGCACTGCCCAAACTGTATTTAGATCAGAAGTGAAGCTTCCCCTGAAGGACAGGAACAAACTGATTAAAAATAATTAAAAAGAAGCCCATTAAGGAAGGTTGAAAGAACTGAATCTGCTCAGATTAGGAAAAGATTAAGGGAAGACAACAAATGCCTACAAATACTTGAACAGGATGTTATAAACTGCACAGGGATTAATTTTCCTCCTTAGTGAACAAGACAATACAAAACAATGGACTGCAGCAGAGACTGATTACGAAATACCAAATGACTCCATTTGTACCATTTGGATTTTCATCTGCTGCTGGAAGTTGCTGAGACTGAGGGGTCTTCAGAAATGGGCCTTGGTACCTGCTAATGCTGGCTGGCCATACAGTAAGGAGAGTTTTGAGAATAACAACCTCAATAATTCTGCAATGCATAGGAAAAATTATAATGCAACCTATCATAAGAGAGGCTTGTCTACTCAAATGATTCTATGAACAGGCTGCACATGAAACAAAGTGGCCTGGCAGTTATCCTGGGACAAAGGAAACCTTGAGGCAGAACAGGAGATGTGTTTCTACAAACAACACTCCCTTCAACAAAGATCAGTTCTTCAGCAAAGACTCAACAAGGTTCCTTTGCACAGATTTTCATCCTGTCCAGCATAGTTATTTCATATTAAAAATCTGGCTCCTTTTAAGTAATTATCCTTCCTTCCACACTAACAGTGTAAAACTGTTTCCCCTAACATTTTGCTTTCACATTTTGAAAGAAATCAATCTACTCACAAGTCTTATCTGCTAAGTGAGAGAGGAGATTGGAAAGTGTATTGATATTACTGATGTCAAGTCCTTCTAGGGAATAAAAGTTTATTGCTTTCCTGTCTCTGATTATCTTTTTATGAGGATGTAGCTCACAAGCTGGAGAAGAGTACTCCATGAGAGAGGAGACAGGCTTCACTACAGAGGCAAGAGGTTGGAGGGAAGCATGAAGAAGAAAGCAGGAAACAAGGTAAAATTTCAAGAGCTATTAAGTGGATTAGGAGTCAAGGCCTTGTGGAAGGTCAAACAGCTTTCTCACTTTTAACATGCAGGTTTAAGGTTGCAAAGTGTGGCACAAGACAGACACAGGTTTCATAAAATTACCACTGTATTTTTCAGGGTAACATGCTGAGATGTGCTAAGCTCCCTCCATTCCCACTGAGAGGAATGCAGAAATCTAGGTATCTTTCAAAAGTTATTTTTCAGAACAGAAGAAGATAAAATTGAAAAGCACTTCGAGAAAAGTTCAAAGCAAGGGTATTGCTCCATGATCTAAACATTTCCAGCCAAGTCATTCAGCCCAGAGCTTTATCTGTAGTTCTGCTGAGTTTTAGGCCAGGCACTTATTTTCAGATTTAAGAAGGGAGCAAAGAAAACTCCTTACATCCACATGTATGTCCTTGGAAGGCTATCTCAACAGACACCAAGGCCCTGGTTAGGCATCTGTAAGTACTCATGTCGTACACACAACTGCCTGTGGAAAATCTCAACAGCATGATCAAGATTTTGCAAAACAGAAAGTGAGATCCTGACCTTTCAAAATTAATGAGAATTTTGCCATTGACCCCAGCAGGACCCCAGATTCAAACCTGGTTATCTACCCTGAATTGCAGAGGAGCTAGAACTTGACAGTCTGTTTGAATGCTCAGCACTTTTAATTAGTAACCCATTAGCTTACATGGTCAAGTTTGATGAATGATGTCTGAGAATCATCACCTAACAATTTTTTCAGCAAAACTGTCTGATTTGAAGACAAAATTATCTTTAATCTGTACTTTCAGTGTAAAATAGACAACAAACTATCTCAAGTTGTGGTTGGAGAGAAAGGATCTTTAAGTCTGAATGTCTAAATTTAATTAACCATGCAGATTTATTTCCTTATAAAGGAAGTTTTAATTTCCATGACCTCACTGTGGGTCCAGGAGATCTTTCAGTTATCTGCTTGAGAAGAGAATAGCCTCCTACCTCTGCACTCCTGTGGAGATGCAGCCCCCAATGGGTTGTCTATGTCAAGTCCACTCTTCCTTGGCCAAAAAGGCAAAGGAGAGTTATATAGAGTTATATATGAACCAGACTGTACTAAGGAAACAGTGCTTCACACTAAGTTTAAGATAGATATCTGCATCCTACCTCACTTACTAAAATTTTTCCTTGACTTTCAGAAACTGAAATGTTGCATATTTTCTATTCTTTCCTCTGCAGAAGTACAATTCCTCTGGAACTGGCTAGCTAAAGCTAGGATGTCCTTGCCATGGGCTAGAAAGCTAACTGTATATACCACAATAGATCTGGTTTGAAATGACATGAAATTAGAGTGTGAATGTTTAGAGACTGTTTCTACACACAAATATTAAAGTGACAATGCTTCCATAGGTGTGCCCTGTAGCAAGTGCCCAGACCACACCTGTCCCCAGAGCAGCACAGATCCCTCTGCAGAAGGAAATACACGTGGCACCTCAGACACCTTCTGATGGCAAACACTGATCAGAGCTGACTTCTATTTGCTTTGTCAATATAACACCAAGAGGCAAAAAGTCATATGGGACAATAGTACTGTTAGGACTGTTTACAGCAGTTTAACTGAGTATGTCAGAAAGATCACTGGTTCAGGCATTTACTCAGAATTTGTATTTCATGGTCCTTAAACATAGGTGATATGTTTTTTCTTTACAAACTAAATTTCCTTCTCCTCAATTACTGTTTTTTTTTTTTTCTGCAGTGCTAACTCTTATCACTTGTAGTCTTGTCTAGGAGTAACTGGGAACTGAGGATAACAAATATTTCTTTTGTTTCCAAAGCAAGCATTCTACCAAAGCCATAATTTAAAGGGCTAACTATATGAGTGCCTCTAAAAATAATGACCATCAATCTGTATTAATTTCAGGTCTAAGTTCACCATCCTGTCTCTAAAGAAAAAAAGAACAGCTTAGGAAACCAGTGGAAAAAAGCTGGCAGAATATCAAGCAAAAGCCAAATCTAAGTCCCAGGTTGCTGCAGGGATGCTGTAAAAATCAGACTGTCTGCAGCAGTCATGGTAGAAAATCATTGGGCAGTGAACATATGCTTTTGGCTCTTGTTATCAGATGACTGATAACTGAGTTCTGAATGATTCATATCCAGCCATGCAAAGGACACATGGGCCCAAAAGGGTGGGAACTGGAAGGGTCATTCATAGCACATGTCTTTGGAGACACTGATGATAACTCGTGGGTAGGTTTCACAAGACTCAATTGTATCACGGTCAAAACTGTTTTGATGTTTATTTCTGATGTCATTTACTCTATTCTATTTCCCCTTTACTACCTGTAAATCTTCTCAATCACACACAGGCTGAAGAAATGTGAGCTGGATGTAATAAAAAGACAGGCATATCATATAGTGCCATTGTGGAGCAATTCTGCCCAGTTCCTTTTCTGACTTCTGTTCTTCTTCATTATTTTATTAATCTATACCATCTTTTCAAGCAAAGGCAATTTTTGTGCTCTGAGACCCAGGCTCCCCATGTGGTTTGATCTCTGCCCTTTATCTCAGGCACTAGAAGGAAGCTGGAGTCACAGTTCTAATCTAACTTACAGGGATAAAGAGGCAACTTCTAGCTGTTCCACACAGAGACTATCTACTGCAGATAAGCTAAATCTTCAAAGGGAAGTCTTGTAAACTCTAAGTCACTGGGTAGAAGACAGCTTCAGGCTCATGTTTAAGAGAGAAGCTGATGTTGATTAACAGTGCAAGTGCCTCAGTCCAGATTATCCTCTTGTGTGCTTTGGGTCTGCTTGAGTTAAATTACATCATGCATTGTAACACATCCTACCATCTTGGAGAACAAGGTGGCACAACATGACAGGCTTCAAAGCTAGTTAGAGTCTGGGTTAGCCTTATACAGACAGGACTGTTCTATGTGGAAATAAAACTCCTGGACCACAACATACTGCTGCAAGAGTCGATGGCAAGAGCCAAACCCAGGAACATGTTTACATATGGTTTCCAGGTGAAGGCTAAATCTGGTTTTACCTCCTCTGGTGTAACTGTATCGCAATGAATTTCCCAACACATTAGGAATTAAAAGGTACAAACTACTGAAACATCCAGAATTGGGGTACAGGACAAGATGAGGTTCCATTCACATTAAAGATAATATGATGTTTTGGCTAAACATGTAACCATGATTGATACCAGTATCAGAGTTACTAGCATTAGAATAAATTATCCCATGATAAAAGTCATAATCAGGAGTAGAACTGGGATTTGTGAGGCCTTTGTTATAAATCCTATGAGCTGATCAGTGTAGTGCCTTCTTAACATGAATGCCATGGGTAGAGCACATGGTTCTCTACCACAAATACTTCTACATCAGTAAGCTGGAGATGCACAAGATATTTCACTCCTGCAGAGAGGGTCTTTTGCACGACTTTTGGCTCAAAAAAGGTACAATGCAAATCTTCAAATCCATAAGCCACTTGCCATCTTTCGACATTAAAGTATCAATGGCAAGTCAACATTTACATTTGATATAACTGCAGTAGATAAACCCTCCCATTTTACCAATCAATATTCTCAGTTAATTCAAGCTCCATGACAGCAACCATGCCTTCCCTATAGAGAACAAGCAAGAAAGCAAAAGCCCCCAAATTTCAACGTAGCCGTAACACATGAGCCTTTTGGATTAGCATTTTCGGATACGTACCCAGTACAGCACATCTGTCCAGCCCTCCATGGTGATACACTGGAACACTGTCAGCATGGCAAAAGCAAAGTTGTCAAAGTTGGTGATGCCATGCTTAGGTCCCTCCCAGCCTGCCTTGCACTCCGTGCCGTTCTGGCACTGCCGCCCGTGCGCAGACTGCGGGGCACAGGGAGACGGGTCGTCCTCTGCAGGGGTGTCTGAAAGAGAGAAGGGGGAGAAAGAAGATGAACTAATTGCTATTTGACACACTGAGAAGTGAGGGAAGGAGATGTGATTTTAACCAATATATTTTGCAGTGAGTTTGACAGATTTCTCAGGAATACACAAGCACATACAAATACTCATTTGAATGGGCAGAGGGATATTTTGTTGTGCTTCACTTTCTTTTTGGAAAACGTAATAGCCAAGCTGTCAAACGTTACAGTCAAAACTGAGATGGACTTTATTTTTAAAGCATACCCTCCCTATGAGGGAGAAATGATGCCTTTCAACATGAGAGGGAACATTACACGGAGTCTGTTCCGTTCATCAGGCTGCACGTTACGAGCAGTGTTTGCCCATCGCAGTCACCTGGCACCCAGGGGCATCTTGGACTGGAACTCTGCTGAAGGAGGCTGAACCCCTGCAGCAGACAGGCTTCAGGCTGTGTGAATTACAGCAGTGTCTGGAGCTCTGCTCTTCAGGAGTTTAGAAGCTATGTGGCATTTCTCACTGCCCCAGGAGCACTCAGCAGCACTGTAAGATCACTGCCTGATTATCCACCCCTTATTCTCTACAGGTGTTTTCAAAGGCCTGAGAGCCATACAACAAGCCAAACTAAATGCTTTGGCATATGAAAAGTGATCCAGAAAGCATTTTTATAAGCACAAAAGCTTCTGCAATAGGATTTTTTAAAATATACAGCTTTCAGGTCTCAGTGATACATTTGTACCAGATGTAGGTATCTATGTGTAGAGGAGCAAGTAATGATGTTTGTTTCTTATCTTACATGGTAAACAATGTAATTTTCCAAAAGTTATTATCACACTCTGATAATTAAAAATGCCAGAAACATTAATATCAGAATTAGATGCTGTAATGTAAATGTTTCCAGACAGAATGGAGAAAGACAAAAACACACTTTAAAGATGTAAACCAGAGAGACAATTCATTATTGTTCTAGCATCATTTCCAGAAAATGAAATCGACCAACATTATAAAAGCAGAAAATACAGAACTTCTGAACCAATTTTATTTTCTTACTTCTGAGCTGAACTGGATCCCAGGCATAAGCACCCACCACCACATGAGAAATCACTGCTGTTCAAGTTCAATAAATGAGATGAAAAAGAGCAGATGGTTAGATGAGTGAGTGACAATGCAATTGAATTATTTTGAGATGTGAATATTTCTTTCTGTAAATAATTTGAAAGCTCTTTCCTGATGGATTTGATACAAAAAGTTTCTTCTCACGGATTTAATTTTGTTTTCTTACCAGCTACACTTCTAACCACACTCAAGGCCCGTGATTAAAAAAATGGTACTGGGCCTGAATTGCATATTCCTTTACAATGATGCTGGTTTAAAAGAAAGATGTATTTGTGCATGAGATTAATAACAGAATATATGAATTGTTCATTTCCATGATGTCACCTCATGCATAGCTCAGTCTGCTAGTGGTGAAATTATCACTACTTTAGTGTTGCTTCAGCCTCTGGGAGATTTGTTAAAGAATTCACGTTGGCTTATCATGCCAAAGATCCACATTAAGAAGTCCACTACTGTGTTCAGAAGATAGTTTTGTGTGTAGCCTTTATAGACAGGCCAACAACTGAGTGCCCAAGAGGAGCAAGCTAAACTCTCACCATTAGAGAAAGCCTCTGCATCAAAGGTGGCTGATATCCAAAGGGCAGAACAAAGGCACTACCACTGTGAAACCAGAAACAAGTATAGAGCAGTGAACAACAGCCACCCTTCTCCTGTGCCAGCACAAATGCTTTATTACCTATGGGAAAAGCCTCCCCCTGAAAATCTGTGCATCTGCACATCACAGAATCATAGGGATTGGAATGGACCTTAGAGATGATCCAGCCCCAACCCTTGCCCTGGGCAGGGACACCTCCCAGCAGAGCAGGTTGCTCAAGGCTCATCCAATCTGGCTGTGAACACTGCCAGGGTTGGGGCAGCCACAGCCTCCCTGGGCAACCTGGGACAGGGTCTCACCACCCTCACAGGAAAATACTTTTTCCTAATATCTAACCCAAATTTTGCCTCTTTCATTTTGTGCCCATTGCCTCTTGTCCTGTCACTGCAGTTCTTAACAAAGCCAGTCCTGCTCCAGCTTTCCTGGAGCCCCTTCAGAGATCTCCACACAACCTTCTCTTCCCCAGGCTGAACAGACCTGACTTTCTCAGCCTGTGCTCACAGAGGAGATGCTACAACTCTCTTACCAACCTCATGGCCTCCTCTGGACTTTCTCCAACAGTTCCATGTCTTTCTTACGTTGAGGATACCAGAACTGCACTCAGTATTCCAGGTGGGTCTTAGGATTTATGTGTTCCACTTACCTACCAGTCCCCCTTGCACATGGTAGCAGGTCTTATGCATCTTCCCCATGAATAACTCCAGTCCAATGATGGCATAGATAATAATGACAAACAGCACCAGCAGGGCAATATGCAACAAAGGGACCATGGCCTTGATAATTGAATTTAAAACCACCTGGAGACCTGCAGAGAGAACAGAAGGAAGCACTTATCAGCAAGAGAACAAAATGCAGAGAGGCTATAAATCACACGGTAGTATGTCAGTTTTATTTCACTCTCCCTCAATTGAACTAATTATCTTGACAATGTTAAGATGTACATTTACAGATCACCTCCCCCAAGAAGATCCCCAATGTCTCACAAATTTACAATTACAGCCTAGATCACAGACTAAAGTAAAAGAGGTCTTACCTTACCTCTCACCAAAATAACACCTCCCTGAGGAGAAAATATATGAGCTATATTGCCTAGTCTCAAAAAACAGGCCTCAGGTGTTCCACACAGCACTGTGCAGAGTTAAAGCATGGGAAAAACAAACAACAACCAGAACTGAAGTGGGACAAGAACTGTGAGACACAAAGTAGGGAAAATGCTGAGGTGCACAGAGCTGCACTCCAGAGCATGGGGAGAGACAGCAAACTGAAGTCATGATTCTGATTCCTACTCTGATTCTGGGCTCTTCCAGAGGTCAAGCCAGTCCTGGGCTGAGCTGCTGAGGGACCACCAAACCCACACTGAGTGAGAGCTCCCAGCCCTCTTAGTATCTCCCTGTACTCCATATCCACCTCACCTTACAGCAGTCTCTGTTAGAGGGAGAGTCAGATCCAGCTGTTCTGGTTTTGCCCTAAGATTTAGGGATCACTCTCTAACAGAGGCTCTCCAGTGAGGACTATGAACAAAATATTATTACATGACAGTTGTTAAGGGCTGAGACTGTTACAAGTACTAATCATGAGCAAGCCAAACATTTCCAGAATGGCCTGGGGAAGGTGACTTGTAGCCAAGTTTTCTAAAGCACTATGCAGCTGTACCCTCAGATGCACTCGACTCAAGCTGCAGATTCATGGGCCTCTCTCTGTCTCCTTCTCCTCACTTTGTCCAACCAAACTAAAGCAGCCTCATAGACTTTTAGTAAGGATTTGCATTTACAAAGGTCTTAAAGTTATTATCACTGGTAGCAATGATGGCAACTACTGTCACTGGCAAGTTATTAATGCTGGAAGTATTGAGAGACCTCTAGAACTCTATAGTCTCCAAAGAGCCAGATCAGAACAATTACAAGCTCATGATTTTGCAATGACTGAGAGCCAGAAGTCATTAATGTCTCCTGCAAAATGCTGTCATCTCCTCAGAGCAGTTGGTATTAGCTGTGATTCTTGAAAAATGTGATTCATGAGTTGTAAATGTCTGTTATACATCTGCCAAGTGAGTTTGGGATAACTATTAACTTTTTAAATCTATCATCTCAGATCTTAGATTTTTCTTTCTTTTTTTTTTTTTTTTTCTTTTAAAAAACCCTCAAATTTAAATACTTTCTCACAGGGATGACACATCTCTTGATGAGCACTTTCACTTGCAGGCAATCCACCTGTCCATTCACAACTAAGGCCTTTGCTCCACAGCTGTGATGGAACTCTGCAGAAGCAACCAAAGGTGGCATCAGCTGCCTGGGCAGCAAGGTCACTCACTGCCTGCTAGGAACACAGTGCTGGATAGTCACATCCCTCTAGTCAGGCCATTTTTTTCCAGGCATCTACAGTTGATTGGGTTACATGTTAATGGTTCATGCTACTATCCAAAGGGAGTGACATTCAACCAGAAACATCCAGGCTTTCACAAGGGATCCTTACACATTACTGACAGGATCAAAACATCCTATACAAGAGTGGGCCACTCTGTTGCTCAGTTGCCTCTGGGTGCTTTCCCAAATAGGCAATGTCTCTGGAGAAAATAACATTGCTGAGCTTATAGGCAGCAGTAAACATTTTCCTCTGGATGCTCCCTTTCTTCAGTCCACTAATCCTAAATGCACACAGAAAATGCATTGCAGCCATTGTCAACATTACTCCAGTTCTTTAGATGAGTCAGAAATATCACATGCACCAGAAACTTGAAATAATGTCCCACCTTCTCCCAAACAATGGACAACCCTACAAGAAAGTTCAAAGACTGCAGATGGCTACAAACCTGAAAAAACAGCCCCACAAACTTTGCAGATTGAAATATTTGCTTCGAATTAATCTACACACAAGCAAATAAAGGCTTCCCTTTTTAGTGATTTTAGCAGCCTTGTTAATCAAAAATGCAGCCAAGATTATGAGGTTAAGAGTTCTAATACCAGGTCTTATGTAATTTATCCTTTATTATTACTAATTGAGTTAACATTCATCATAGGATATACCCAGTGCTCTTGAGAGTGTACTGAGATGAACAAAAAGCTCTCTCATTTTAAATACAGCTTCATTATCACCCAAGCCATGAAAGTGCTTCAGCAGACTACACATGCCCAGAGAAGATAATATCTGCACAAACCAATACCCTTTCTGTTAACAAAGCAGTACTTGTGAAATCAAAGGCTTGCATCACAAACATGAGATGACAAGGTGTTCAGACAGTCAAGGGGAACATGTACCACCAGAAGATGTACAGAAGCTTCAGCCAGCTTAATTAGAGAAAAGCTTCTTGAGGATAATAAACCAACTTTGAAGAGGAGATGAGGTACTGAATACTGTTAGCATGAACTGACGTGTGCACTGTGCAGCGCCCCATTAGGGCAGCCTGTTTTTAAATCCAGATGATTCCAATAATTAGCAAGCTTAAATACACATTACCATTAAAGTATTCAGAGAGTCTCTAAAGGTAAAAAAAATACTGGCTGTACAGCCACTTTAGAAATGTCCTCAGAAGATGTAATGAATGCTGCTTGTAGAAGGGCAAGAGATACACACATCACCAGGCTCCACATGTTGTTGAGCTGCTGCCTGTAATCACTTCATTCTCAGCTGGGCAGCCACTTGCAACATGAGTAGCTGCTGCAAGGAATGGTATGAGGAACCATGACTGGACAATCAGAAAAGTAGTGTAGTAGCAAGGGGGGAGAACTAGGAGAGCAAATGAAGAAGCATTCAGGACTGGGGAAGAGCCATGGGTAGGTGGAACAGAGACACTTTTTAAATAAACCCTCCCATCTGGCTCAAAAGACATCAAATCTGTATTCTGAAACCTGAGAGGTGCAGATCAGTGTCTGGGGGTGCCCAGATGTGTTTCTGATCAGATCAAGGCAAATTATTCCCTTACACCAAGTCACAAAGGTTTTCTTCTAACCAAAGGTAAGAATTCTACATGCTTTGACATGCTCTTT